CGCCGTGGCAGGTATAGAAGTTGTGATCAAAATTAGTGGGAGGTGTCAGGAACCTGAAGCCCACGTTGACCTCTATCCCATAGGGATTTGTATCGCTGTGCCCGTGTCAGCTCCTGGGGAGATCTTTTACCTGTGACCACACCATCTGAGCCTCCTCCATCCTCTGCTGAAGATCCACCTGAGAGCTGACAAGGATATGTAACAAGAGTTTTCTTCTATCGTACTTGCCAAGGCTAAAGCTACCTGGTATCCAGGATGGGAGCGCTGGGACCCCTATATATCTGTCTTTGAGGTTTTAATAATAATAAACAAAAGTTTTCAAAGAATGGAAATGGATCTTGTGATTCTTGAAAGGTATAGAGGTAGGTCATCATGGCCTGGCCTGTAACGAAATGACTTTCCATACCTGTCTTATCTTCCCACACATCTCAAGCTCGCCCTCTGCTGTAAGAATATTGCTGCTTCCACCAGAGACCTGGATTTCCCAGGGAGGTAATCTGGAGTAGTGGGGAAAGCCGCCCCAGCACTCTTGAGAACTGGCTCAACGGGTCTCAGGGTTGTTAGGCCACCTGAATAGGGAACCAGCAGCTGCCTAGCCTCTAGTTTTTTCTCTCCTTCCTTTTCGTCTTTTTTTAGTGTTCATCAGTTCCCTCAGAGTTTGCTTCATACGTTTTCCTCAAGAGTTGATCCCCATCAGAACTACATCTTCCATTCCACCCATGTATGTCTAGGATCCTTTAGTTTACTTGGTTCATTTCTCAGTTTTCCGGTAGGCCTTGCTGTTTTCAGAGCTAGAGCAACTTTCTTCGTATTAAAACTCTTAGTTGCTCTCCCACAGTATATATCAGGAAACAGGCACAGTCGGAAGTTGTACCAGTAACAACATTGTAATACTGGAAATTTCTATACCTGGAGCTACTTTTCTGGGGTTATAGAAAAGGGGAGTCCCCTCATCTACTAGTTCCCACAGAGTGGTGGCAGGACCGGCCCTCTGCTCCACCTCCTCTATCCCCAGATGGCCCCAAATCCCCTTTGAAAGCATATGGTTCAGGTATCAGCATAGCAGCCTGTAAAACTTGGGTTAGGGTGTAGAGGATATGGAAGGCTTAGATCAAATGTCCCAAGTGAGGCAGGACCAGATTTTCCCCAGCATGAAACAGCTGAGAAGTAGCTACCATAGACTGTCCCATTTGGGGTTAGACCGTTAGGCCACCTGAATAGGGAACCAGCAGCTGCCTAGCCTCTAGTTTTTTCTCTCCTTCCTTTTCGTCTTTTTTTAGTGTTCATCAGTTCCCTCAGAGTTTGCTTCATACATTTTCCTCAAGAGTTGATCCCCATCAGAACTACATCTTCCATTCCACCCATGTATGTCTAGGACCCTTTAGTTTACTTGGTTCATTTCTCAGTTTTCCGGTAGGCCTTGCTGTTTTCAGAGCTAGTGCATTAAAACTCTTAGTCGCTCTCCCACAGTATATATCAGGAAAGAGGTACAGTCAGAAGTTGTACCAGTAACAACATTGTCATACTGGAAATTTCCATACCTGGAGCTACTTTTCTGGGGTTATAGAAAAGGGGAGTCCCCTCATCTACTAGTTCCCACAGAGTGGTGGCAGGACCGGCCCTCTGCTCCACCTCCTCTATCCCCAGATGGCCCCAAATCCCCTTTGAAAGCATATGGTTCAGGTATCAGCATAGCAGCCTGTAAAACTTGGGTTAGGGTGCAAAGGATATGGAAGGCTTAGATCAAATGTCCTAAGTGAGGCAGGACCAGATTGTCCCCAGTATGAAACAGCTGGGAAGTAGCTACCATAGACTGTCCCATTTGGAATTAGACCAGCCCTGGGTATGAACCAAGACAGTCCACAGCCCTTGGATTAGTCATGGCTTGAAGAAGAGAAGACAGAGCACAGGGCTGTGCCTGACAGGGAGGGAGTCTGGAGTTTCTGGTTTCAGTGTGAGCCAGGGGAGGGGCCTTCATGTAGAGGGAGGGCTGGGCCCCAGTCAGCTATGCAAGGCTGCGTAAGCAGAGGCAGCACAGAACAGAGAGGATCCCAACACCTTCCTCAATCGCAGGAGTGGACACTGCAGCTTTGACCACCTAAGGCACCACACTTGCTCCAAAGCTTGTAATTCCATTTGCCATTCTGAGGCCCAAGGATGGAGCCACTACTAGGGGTGAAAATTGGCTGCCTGTTTGCCCTGCTGGCTCTCACCCTGGTCTGTGGCCTCATTCCCATCTGCTTCAAATGGTTCCAGATCGAGGCGGCCACAGGTATAGCCCTTCCGTATCTTTGTCTGCATAACGCGGGTCTGACTTCAACCCTGTCACCTTATCCTGACACCTTGTTCTGATTCTCTCACCATCCCCAAGCTTGGGATGTTGGGTGCTGCCTGTTGCTCTTTAGTCACCTTTGTCCATCTCCTCATTGCCAACTGGATTATAACTCCTGCTTTTCATTAGGTCGTCACCGCCGGGTCCTCAGCCTCCTGGGCTGCATTTCTGCCGGCGTTTTCCTGGGAGCAGGGCTCATGCACATGACCGCTGAAGCCCTGGAGGGAATGGAATCGGAAATCCAGAAATTTGAGATGCAGGTGAGCAGCTGAGTATCAGGGCTGGGAGGCCGGAATGATGAACAGAACCAAGGGAAGAAAGAGGACAAAGTGATGGAGCCAAAGACATGACTCCTGGGTGGAACGACAGAGAAGATGACAGCTCCTGTGTTGTGTGGAATAATGACAAGAGGTCAGACTGGGCTTTAAGAAAGCAATGGAGCCGAAGGGACAGGACAGGAAACTGAGCTGCTCCATCCTCCATCTAATTTCTGCTTTTTCTTCCATAGAACAGGACAAAAAGTGAGGGAAATTTTTCTGGTGATGCTGATTCAGTTCATGTAAGTATCTCTCACCAGCCCCTATCTGGAGGGTGAGGAGAACCAGAGACTCCTCTCACCCCCAGAGCCTTTGGAGAGGAGAACGTGAGGAATACCAGAACCCTCTGCTCCTCAGCTCGGACACTGTAGGAGGAGCCAACCTGATTCTTTTGGGTTTATGGAACCCCAGACCAAGCTCTTGCTTTGCTCTTGCATTCTTTCTCTGCACTCTTTAATATGCCTCACATCGTTTTCCGTATTTCTAATCCTACTGCCCCTGTATCCCTTGGTCCTCTGGTACCTTGTTGTCGTATGTCCGTATCTCCTCTGGGCTTCATTCCCGACCCTTTTTTATGTTCTAGTCCCACATTTCCCATTCTCCTCAGTCCATCCTTTGCACCTCCTTCCTTCCTTTCCCGTCTCACAGCCCCTCTCTCTGTTCCCAGATAGACTATCCCTACGGAGAGCTCGTCATCTCCCTGGGCTTCTTCTTGGTCTTCTTTATGGAGTCGCTGGCACTGCAGTGCTGTCCTGGAGCTGCTGGAGGATCCGAAGTGCAGGAGGAGGAATGCGGGGGCGCTCACGTGCTCGGATTCCACAGCCACGGACCTCTGCCCTCGCCCTCCCGCAGCCCCTTTCGAGCCCTCATCCTCCTGCTCTCACTCTCCTTCCACTCGGTGTTTGAAGGTCTAGCTGTGGGGCTGCAGACAACAGTAGCAGCTACCGTGCAGCTCTGTCTTGCTGTCCTGGCTCACAAGGGGCTCGTAGTGTTTGGTGTAGGACTGCGGCTGGTGCAGACAGGCACTGAGTCCCGATGGGCCGTGTTGTCTATACTGTTGTTCGCGCTCATGTCCCCCCTGGGCCTAGCCTTAGCGCTGGCTGTAGCTGGAGGAGACTCTGAAGGGGCACGAGGCTTAGCCCAGGCTGTGTTAGAGAGTGTGGCAGCTGGCACCTTCCTGTATGTCACCTTCCTAGAAATTCTGCCCCGGGAGCTGGCTGGTCCTGAAGCTCCTCTGGCCAAGTGGGGCTGTGTAGCCACTGGTTTTGCCTTCATGGCTCTTATTGCATTGTGGGCCTGAGAGATTCCTGACTTCTCTGACAGACTCCTCTAGAATGCTCTCCTTACCCCCAGGAGGCACCTCCCCAATGGCTTTGGCCCTCAGACATCTTCAGTGAGACTAAGTGGCATTCACTAGGCATCATCCCCCATGAACTGGGCCCCAGCTTTTCCTACATGAGATAGCATTGCTCATCCAAGACTGAGAAAAAGATGTTTATTTAGGTTGAGGGCCTATACATTGGAGAATTGATATAAAGACCATCTTTCCAGATTTGACTCATCCCATTTTTGCTACCATATGTAATAAAATGTCCATTTTACCCTTCCCCTTCAACCATGCTGTACTTCATTTCTTCAGGTTGCCTAAGAGCTGCCTGGTGGAATGGGGAGTGGGGAGGATGAGCATTAGACGCACTCTTTTCTTCTGGAATTGGGGCCTCCAGCCATTTTGGTAATTGCAGCTATGCCCACCAGACATGGGAGCATTGCTGAAATTCTAACATTAGTCACAAGTGTTTAGATATTAAGCCAGAGTTTTCAGCATTTAGGGAAAAGAGTTTTAAAAACAGAAACCATGGGGATCTAAAAAACAATAACCACACCCACCCCACTCCCAGTACCTATTATCAGCCACCTGAAACATGTCCAACAGACTCTTGAGATCAGGCTCAATGAAGTCTACTTCCATCTGGTTCCTATTTTTCGCATTGAGCCCTGTGTGGCCTTTGGGGCATGATTGTTCTTTGAGCCTCTGTCTCCAGGTTGCCTTGTGCAGAAGAATTAAAAAGCAGTATGTTTGGAAAGGGAGAAAGGCGCCAGATAAATGCCGAGGGTGATTACTTGGTGCTGCCACGTGGTGGCTTTCCTTCTGCCTGCCCTACCTGCCACTATGCCTTTGGCCCCTCCCCACTGGACCATGTGTCTTACAGTTGAGTAACCGCTACAATGTGTTGCTTTTCTTCAAAACTGCACAAATACAAAAACATTATCTACGTGAGGAGGAGAAAGATGACTGCTGCCCAGCCCCTGATGAGGAATATCTCAGACTTGGTAGAGAAACAGGTAAAGAAGTGTGCCCTGTGAGCTCACACACCCTCACCAGTTTGCCCCTTCGAATATTTTCAATGTAGAAGTCCAAGTGGCCTTAACATGAGTGAAGTTTCCTAAGTTTCATTCTCATCTCTCATTTCATTTCTGTCTTCTGTCCATCCCATTCGCCTCCCCACAAATTAAGATATGCAAACCTCCTCACAGGCCCAGCTTACACACCCAGGGATGATCAGTGAGAAGCCAAGCTAAAGGCAAAACTAAGTAAAATGTCTGACACAGGAAATCATTTCCCTCAAGCACCATCCTATTCTGTTTCCCTTCAGTACTAAATGCACTCACACGTAACATGCTCAGAACAGCACCTAGTATGTTGTAATAATAATAACAGAGTTTCCACACTGAGCACCTGCTTGTGCCAGGCACTGTGCTGTTGCCTCCACACATATTTTCTCATCTTTCCAACCCTGCCAGGTAGATGTCATCCTCCTCCACACATATTTTCTCACCTTTCCACCCTGCCAGGTAGATATCATCCCCCTTGTAAGTCCAGGGTCATGCACTCAGGAAAGTTAAATAACTTGATCACATAGCTAGCTGGGCTTCAAACTCATGTTTCCGTGATTCTAAGAAAAGTTCAATATATAGACTCTCTCCTCCTTACCTTTACCTTCCCCACCTTTACTTTACCTGTACCTCCCATCTTATATGTTAGGTCTCAGGAAAAAGCAGAGAGCACACTGAATCACTGAGGAAAGTTTAATAAAGGGAGGGTGCAGAAGGTGTGGGCAGAGTTAGGACAGAGCAACAAACATGGTGCAACAGCCTGGGGCTCAGTAACAGCAATGCTGTTACCTGGGCTGAAGAGAAGGAGCAGTTACCTGAAACTGGAGAGGGCCGTCCACTAAGAGCTGTGGCCTTTGGTGGAGGGCGACAACCAGCATGCAAGGGCTCCACAAGAAGCCAGAGGAAAACTTTTACTCTCCTACTCTTGGATATATTGCCATGTCTCTCGTTGATCATGCCCAAACAGAAGGCAAAGGACAAAAATGTCTGGTGGTACATTGCAGATAGATTGGCCTCAGGAAGCACAGCTCAGAAACAAATTTGGAGGAGCCAGCGAAAAACATCCAGCATGCCATCAAACCCTGCTGCTTTCGACTTAAGTGATCTTGCTAGGATTTCAGAAGGATGCATGGGAAGGGACACGATTATATGGATGTTAGAGAACTACTTCTGGTATAGAGAATTTGTATGACTATGGAAAGGAGACTTGAGAAGTACAGTAGACTCCGAGGCTCTTCATGTTTCTGGGTCACTGAAGCTATCAGCATTTGAGGTAAACGAACAGAGGTCAGGAGATTTCAAGCACAGATGAGTCATGCTTTTTGCCTCCTCCCAACCCAAGAGCCCTTTGATTTCCCTTTAGCTGCCTCTGCTTCCAAACATCAATGCTTCCTTTCCTCCCTACGACCATTTCCTTTCCCTTTCCTAAGATCCTTACCAACCAGAACCAAAAACATCTTTAGTTCGGACCATATTGCATCAAAAGCTGGAATAAAGCTAGAGAATGGCTCCCTAGAGAGAACATCAGGATCAGAAAAGGGAACAATCTTGATCATTTTCAAAAGATATGGATCCCAGCAAGAAGCCAGAGAGGGCTCTAAGGGAGCAGAAGATGAATGTGATTTTAAATGAGATTGAAACAAGGAAGGATGGAATTAAGAACAGGCATGAGAACCACAGGACAGGAGGGAGAGCTGAGTTAGCTGGGGCAGGGTGACTAGAAGCCAGAATTAGTAGTGAACCTTGATTCATCCTTGAGAGACAGGTTGTAACTGAAGGACATTAAAATCATGAGAGTTGAAAAATAAAAATAGGAGGGAAGATATGTAGGATGGGAAAAAGGATGAGAAGAAGCTAGTTGGAATAGTCACAAGAGAATTTATGTGGAACAATTTTCAAGTCTCCTCAACCCCCGTGCCCCTTCCCCAACCCCTTCTCCATCCACATACATGTACTTTTTATATATCTAAACAGGAAGAAAAAATGAAATCAGAAGAATGAGACCTCTGACTGCCCTCCCACCTAGAGCCAGGTTTCCATTTTTGCGCCAATAAATGGCTCTCCCTCCCCCACCTTTCCTCTGCTTATAAGCTGAGGGTTAGGTTTGGATATTGCAGTTGTAAGGTTATAATTTATGAAGACAAGGAGATGGGGAACAACATCAAAGAGAAACCAGAGTTTAGCAAATATCCCAAAGCAGGGCAGGAGGTCAGTCAGAGAACAAGAGACAACCAGGAACAAAACCTGAAGAGCTCCAGATGAACTTCTTGTGAGATAATTGGTTCCACTTCACCCCTCCCTTGAAGGCAGTTTCCCAGGGTCTTGCCTCCCTCAACATAGGCCAGAGTCCCTCGCTCCTGGCTCTGGTTGATAGAATACAAGGACTGGCAGCCAGAATTGGTATAAGTTGGTACGTGTGGATGTGCCAACTAGCCAGACACCTTCACACCCAAGTGACCTAAAGGAAGAGCCCATGGCCACTAGCAAAGGTGAAGCAAAAAAGTTACAGAAAAGGGTTACACTCTCAGGCCCCAGTCTATGGAGGTGCTTAAAGACACCAGTTTTGATTATTTCTTTTTTATTTCAAGTTTGTTCTGAGTTACTAGATTTATTGAATGTCTAATACACAAAGCATTCTACTTTTACTATTTATTTATCCCTCCCTCCTGTTAGTTTCACTATTTGTGTACCTTCAGAGAATTACTCTTTAAAATCTCTTCATGAGTTCCACAGTTTTCGAGCTGATGCCACAAGGCTCTTGTCACTGTATTCTTTAGCTTTATTCTCCTTCCCATTGAACTCTCTTAGCTATTTTGGACTTCTATCCCTAAAGTCAGGGAAACACATTCCTTGAGAATGAGAGGAAGAGAGAAACAGGAGTCCTAAGCCTGAAACGGAGACAAAAAGTCTCCGTAGAGACTTTGTGGCTCAGCTTCTGTGAAGACACCTCACCTCTTCTGAGCCTCTGAGCTCTGATCTTGAGGATGAGCAGGAACCACAGACAAGGTACCCGGCCCTTCCTATGCAGCTACTGCGGAGAATCACGAAGAACAGGAGACAGAATGGGAGCTTGGAACTGGGGAAAGTTAGAAAGAACCATGGCAACCACAGGGGGGCACTGCGTCCCCATGGGCTCTCGCCTGGAATGTCTAGGACCAACAAAGTAGAGGTCAGTCAAGGACAGCAAACCCCTCTCCCTTGCTCCCAGCAGAGAGCATCTCTCCTTCCACTTAACTCTTGAATTTCTTATGAGGGGACATCTATCAGAGACACACATGAACATCACCCATTTCACACACCATCTCCATGACAGGTACATAAATGCATGCGCTCACATATGTACACAGAAATGAGATTTTCTCCTTCTTCCAAAGACTGGCCTGCTAACATAAGTGTTACCTGTGCAGGTGACTGCGCTGAGAAGAGCTTCCTTCCCTTCCCTAATGCACAGCAGCAGCTATTGCCAGTCAAGGCTGATGCTGGTTGGAGTTCTTTGCCTTTTCCTCATGTTTTGTTTGCCTAGGAGCTAGTTGGACCAATGATTCCAATTATACAGTTTCTTTTCTTTAGTGTGGCATTCAAGTGCCTACTGCCTGCCCTGCGTGTGGTCACTCAACACCCTGTCCCCTTCTGATCCTGACTACTGCATTTAAAATAGACTCAGTCCTATGAGACAGTGATGAAATGCTCAAGAATCACAAACATGCCCCATGTCCCATTTCCACATTGGTTTGTCAGCACTAGATATCGAGCTGCATTTGCCGTCAGCTCAGTTTCACTGAGGAAAGTGTATAATTACCTGAGGGGTTCTATACAGTCATCTGGCAAGTGATCTGGTAATATTTCATCCACAGTGCTCTGGTCAATAATGCTGTGGAGTGCCTTCTCATTTTTACTTCTTGTGCCTCAAGAGCTCATGAATCGGCTTGCAACAGCCACAGAATATCTAAAGTCTTCTGGACGATTGTTGTTCATACTTGTTGAAAGGCTTCTCAGAGAGCCACAACCATGGTCTAACTCCCTGAGTTCCTGGGTTCATGTGGAGGAATTCCTCGGAGGAACTTCTCTTTGCTTCCGTGACTCACCTGGAGGAGTCTTCAGATTGGGATCGACTATGAGTGACCCAATGACCCCACTAGTAACTACATGAGGCCCAGTCTGATGACTGTGCTGAAC